GCAGTTACTACACTAACCTCAATGTTCTCCAAAGGTAAATAGTACAAGAGATCGCATATGATTGGCAAGCTGCCAGTGCCGAGGCGTTCCTCTCTCGTTGCCACTCCCGGGACCCACGCGTGCCCCGTCGGGTCCCGTGACCGACCCGATGACCTGCAGTAACCCAACCGGCCGGAAGTGCCGCAGACTTCTCACATGTCGCCCGGTGCAGTTGGCTCACCAGCGGTGAGTCACCAGCACCACACGGGCTACCGTGCAGGGGTCAGGCAGCGTGAGACGCATCAGCAGCAGGACAGAACGGCAGGTCCACTCAAGCAGCGGCATTCCAAACCAACAGTTTTCAAAAGTGTTTGGGCTATGCGGCTCGTATGGTTGATAAGGCGGATGACATAAGCGTATAACGTGTAATTAGTGGTCATCAGTCTAAGCTGCGGCTAATGACCACGTTAATTAGCGATCGACAGCCCTTCATTCTTTTATCGCACTCATCGGATTTCATCATGCAACGTAATGTCCCGGTTTGCAAAGTTAGGTATGTTAGCCTACACGCTGATACAAAAAGATTAAGGCATATAATCGCAGCAACTACACTGCAACATTTGCAGCATGCCTACAGCGCTAACAAGCCAGCTGCTTCGGTCAGCACCAGCAAACACAGCAACGCGGCTGGTACTAGCCCTCCAAACCAGCAGCGACTGGAATCAGCGCAGGGTTCCATTACTGCCGCCAAAACAACACGGACAAAAACGGGCCGGGCAGGGCTCGGATTACTCGGCGAACTCGGCGTAGGCGACGTTTGTTTAACCACCGTGGGAACGTCGAGATCGACAGAGCGAGTGCAGCTTGTTCTCTCCCTCTCCTTCCATGTGGGCAGTCGTCTGGCGTCATGTGTAGATCAGCCCAGCTACAATATCGGCGGGATTCGAACACCGGCGGTCCATCAGCGCATTTTTAAGTGACGTATGGTGTTCGGCGGTCTCAGCATCTGCCATTTGAGGCAGACGTTTGATGTATGAGGACTGGCATCGTCATTTCCAGATGGATTCGGAGTACAGCTGGCGCAGTGCCATCACCGATGGAGCTGTGGCTCCCGCTTGGCCGGCTTGAACCAGCCTGGTGTTTCTTGACCGTCATTGTTAGTTATGCGCCACCGCTATGTCGAGAAGCATCCCAGCTCCCGGAAAGTCATTGCAGTGAAAATATTGGGACACTGCAGGTGTTGCAAACGAACCCCGTGAGGATTTCTGTTCGTGGACTGTCGACTGAGGATTCAGTCTGCTCTTTTAGAAGGGTTGCTCAAGACTGAGGTGGTTGATCCAATCGCTCGACGTTGTGAAGGAACGCTCGAAAACTCTGGGTGATTCTTGACTGCTTTTGAAGGATCATTTAGAAACTGTGAAAGGAGATTTGCATCGAGAGTGGACAGCCAGTGATTTGGTGGAATGGTATTTTGATGGATGCACATTTTGCCGCGAACATCTTTGTAAAGAACGATGGATGCTCCATCGCCAGAGGATTACAGCATTATCATACCTTTTCGTCGAATGTGGGGAAAAGCAGCACGGTCTCCACTTCCTGACCCAGTTCCCAACGCGGACTAGAATAATAATATCGCATACAGAGCGTGTTAAAGGGAGGGTCCCACCTTTGGGACGCATTTCAGAAACATACTCTGGTGAAAGATCAGGACTAGTTATGTCTAATACGCTCGGGGTAGCGTCACTGCAGCACAGGCAAGACATGATGAGGCTATCAATTTTAATTATTTCCGAGTCCAAATGCACTACGTTTCGTCCCTACAATCATGGCCATCGTCGTCATGATAACCACTGAGTGCACTTCTACTGGTGCGAATAAAGGGACGTTTGTGATCGCCCCAGCGGGCAAGAGCCTGTTGCCGAGAAACGCGTAGCTTGAAGTGTGTGCAAGTGCGTCACATGGATCTTGTGATAGTACCATTCCTAAAGCCAAGGCTTGCCTCGAAAAGAACCACTGTGGTTAACGCCATAGGGAGAAATCAAAGCCAAAGTATAACGTTTCGTTGAATTCGCGAGATAATAGCTTCATGTTCACAAATCTTGTTGTCTGAACAGAGTTTTTCAAGCCTTCGTAACACTCATTACACAGATATTTTTACACATTTGCCTACTTCAAATATAAATTTTGAGCAGTTTAGAAGGATTTCTAGAAAAGAGACATTAATAATCAAATCATACGAGTTTGATGTAGCAATAAGTGAAAAGTGCAAAATATGTCATACTACTTTCAAGGAACGAATTTCCATAAAAATTAACCAAATCTAGCTAACAGCTCTGTTAGCTAATTCTTTAAGCACTATGTCGTTGCTCAAAAGAGTCAATGAGACTTCTGCATTTTAATAAAATTCTGCGTTTTAGCGTTCAGCGTATGAACAAAAAGGCAGATGGCGGGGTTGGAGTAACAGGGCGGGGTGGGAGGTCCAGTCTATTAATTCGGAGTGCCCTGGATCTTATCTAAAATGAGATAGGGCGCCAGATATAGGTGCCAAAGATGCTGAATTGCCCGACACCAAATGTCAGTAGTCATATTTGATATTCTGCGTTCACGAATGTGACACCAAGCACCAAAACGAGCAAGCCAGCATGCGTACTTGGGTGTCAGGTCGCAAGTTGATATAAGCGTCTTGATAATTAAGGTGTATGACCCAAACACCTACTGTGATACCCGTCTCAAAAAGCCAAAGGGGCGTGACAGCAATTAAACAGAGGGAATTTCGAACCACTTTTATGCTTTACACAAGTAGCTGAAGATCGGTGCGGAGGCGGCGTGAATGTGTCCAATTAAAAACAACCTGTCGGACATTGTGGACAAAGTTCCGAATGTGCTAAACACTGAGTAAAGCTTAACCAGAACCACAAATGGTGGTAAGCTCTTCCCTAAAAGCTAGTCAATGTTGCTTTGTATTTGTTATCTTCAGGCGAGAGCTCAGATGCTGCTATAATTTCGTATTCAGCAGCATAGTTTGTATCCACCCGAAATTAATTCAGGTAATGATTTGGAGCGAGACCGCAGACCACGCGACAGATTTTTACCACCCTCAGCCCTTTCTGTCAGGAGTCGTGCAAGATGCGTCTAAAAGATCGCCAAACACACCGATGTAGTTCAAGATAGATTGTTAAGATAGTTAAGATTACGTTCAGATTATAAGCACAACATAAGCATTATGTAAGCACACATCAAAAGTAAGGGCATTTCATAAAATTACCACAGCTCTAGTTGTTTTTTCTTGTTTGTCAGAATGATGACCAAAAAGCGTTTTAGGTGCATGCACTATTACTTTCCCTTGGCATTGGTAGGGCTGGCAGTTTGTAAATATCATCTGTCACAGTTTATAAGTGCAGACTGTTGCAGCAGAGATATTGTGAGTGGTTTTCTTCTCTATATTATGCTAGAGGTAGATAATCATTTTTCGTCATGTTCACTGAAACAAGTAACGCTTTGTCCAACATGTCTCGAAGTGGTATGTTTTCTGGGCTGTGACCACATTCTAGTAGCTAAATCTGGTGCAGTTAGTTTTTCGTTGTTTCCAATGCGGTCATCATCGGCCTCAACGTGTCTCATACGTTGTGTACATTTGTCGTGTTCATCAAATGCTCTATTCAAATTGAGTGGTTCATATCAGGTTGAGTGTTGCATGTGCAGTATGCACCCAGCTTGTGGGAGATAAATAACTCATCGATTAACATTCTGGTCTCAACAGCACGCGACGGCGTGCCGCCACACCGCTTCACTCCTGATGCGCCCACCTGCTGACGGCTGCCGCCAGCGGCTGCTCCAGTGGCCAGCTGCTGGGATGAGGCGCATCAGCACAGCGGCACGCGCAGGATTCCGCACCGATTGCAAATACCGTTGTGTTGTAGGTGGGGAGAGTGGGTGAGAGCGACATGAACTAGACGCGTCGTATTTTCAGTGCAAGATTTCTTGACGTTTTCCTCGTCCGCTTTGGTTCTTTAAGGGGGCAAAGTTTCCAATAATTAGTTACAGGACTCATGCAATGCTCGTTCTGTCCGTTGCTGTGGTGAGTGCCTGGAACAACAGAAATAGCTGCTGTAACACTGATGTGTGAACTTCTAGTGGCTTCGCCGCTCTCTGCCTGCGCTCGCCGCTCCGTAGCGTAGGCAGACTGGCCATCCCATCGAGGAAAATATCTTCGGAGCATGAGGCATACCTTCTGCTGCTAGGCTCTAGCGAAAGAAATTCAGCACTGTAGGTGCAACGTTAGTTTAGAATGTTCGTCATCTTCCGGCATCTCTGGGATTCCCAAACGCTGACCTCATGTACGTCCCCAGCGTAGCAAGCGTCGTCAGCCATACTCTCACGTCCCTAACACAAAGCAGGGAAGCACCGAGCACGGGTGGACGCGGTGACTTGTCAGCCACCAACACGACACGACATGTCAGCACCGATACTCCTCACTGAGCACCGCTCTGCCGTCAGCACCAGCACCAGCATCCGATTCTCCTCACTGAGCACCGCTCTGCCGTCAGCATCAGCGCCAGCATCCACCACCGCTCTGCCGTCAGCACCAGCACCAGCATCCGATACTCCTCGCTGACCATCGCTCTGCCGTCCGCACCAGCACCAGCATCCGATACTCCTCACTGAGCACCGCTCTGCCGTCAGCACCAGCGCCAGCATCCGATACTCCTCACTGACCACGGCTCTGCCGTCAGCACCAGCACCAGCAACCGATGCTCCTCACTGAGCACCGCTCTGCCGTCAGCACTAGCACCAGCAACCGATGCTCCTCACTGAGCACCGCTCTGTCGTCAGCACCAGCACCAACAACCGATGCCCCTCACTGGGTGCCGCTCTGTCTCCAGCAACAGCACCAGTACCAGCAGCCGTCAGCCTCGGTCATCAGCAGGCCGCTCCGCGATCGACGGTGGCGTCGCGGTGCGGCCGAATGCGGGAACACAGAAGTCGCTCGCGCGGCGGCTAGTTCGGTTCGCGGCGTGGCGGGAGTGGGGTGCGTTAGAGCCTCGCGCGGTCGGCGGTGGGCGCGGGCGGGTGAAAAAGCGGGAGGACAAGGCGCAGGACCGGTCGCGCCGTTCACAAGCTGTCAGCGAGTGCGACGCGCGTTCTGGTCTTCAGAAAGCACGGACACAAACCAGACCTTGACGACCAGGCGACGTTCTTCCTTCGAAGTACCTGACGCAGTACTGGTACTCGGTGCTTACAGACACGTCATGCGGTGACAATGGGAGTGAATTGACTGAAGTGATCCCGCTGGGATTTGACGGCACGTGCAGTCAGTGGCCACCGCTCGCTGTGTGCCCCGAAACGTGCAAACCCGCCGCCCCGAACTGCGGACGGAACTGCGACGTGACCCTCGAGTCGCGTGCAAAGTGAACCGGCCCGGCGATCCGTCACCATTCGGCGCCGGGGAGCGCCTTTTCACGGGACTCATCCGTCATGATCCTGAGAGAGAGATCGTAGTGATCGGTGACAGGACATGCTCGAAGAATCCGAGGAGTAGACACGCCTCAGGTGAGTTTGTCGCCACGTCCCTCCTTTTTCTAGTCCGAACCTTCTGTGACGAGCCTCGACTCTTCGGCCGTCGCCCCAGGTATCTCACTCTTTTTCTCTTGGACCTCTCCCGCCTCTTATACTCCGGTCTATCTTCCCTTTTCCCCTCCTTACTCCCGCCCCCAACGCCCCCCCCCCCCTCTCTCCTCTCTCTCTCTCTCTCTCTCTCTCTCTCTCTCTCTCTCTCTCTCTCTCTCTCTCTCTCTCTCTCTCTCTCTCTCTCTCTCTCTCTCTCTTTCGCTCCCCAATACATTTGTGTCATTTACGACCTCATCAGTTAACTGTAAATGACGTACAATGAGGCAACGCAGATGCGTGATTCTGTCTTCACGACATGCAGGCTCCGTCTCGTAGAGCGGGGCGACCCAAATACAGGATATCCTATCTATTCGTTTTATGCGCCTTGTCGCTGGAGCAGCGGCTGAGCGCTGTTTCTGTTTTGTTATTCATGGCGGCGTTCTGAACTCAGATAACGCATCTCTCGGGCTATCGTCCGGCTACTTTGTAACGGAGACGGTAATAGCTGTCGATATTTGTCTCCGGCGTTGTCAGAACCTGCCGACCGAGGCGTGCGCCGACGGCTGACGTGTTGTAATACGAGATCGGTATCGCCGCCGAGTGACCAGCCACGCCCAGCACAGCCCGGCGTGAGCAGCGGCGGAAGTGGCGCTCTTGTCCAGCCAGACAGGTTTGCGACCGATCAAATGGCTACTTTTCCGACTTACAGTGCTGGAAATCTGTGCCTGACTGACTGTTCGCTGAGTAGGGTAGTGAGCGATGTCCCGAAGGCTCCACGTGAAGTGTGTAGCAATGGCGGGATTCGCAAAGACGTCCCCTCCCCCAGAACTTCACGAAACATGTGGAACAGACATTTTCCTTCAAGGCTTGCCCTTTCTTTGTTTCAACCGGCATTTGAAGCGGAATGTAGATGGTAGCGTACGTTTGCACGAGAGTAGTGTAAAATATGAACCCATAGCTTGAACTTGAACATCGTGCTTCCTTTTTCGAGCGTCTTGCTGAAAGAACAGTAGTCGGCCTCTGGTGACAAGTCATGCGAACAGGAAACAAACGCAGGGAGAGTTGGAATCTCGGTCCTCTTCCAATCCAACGCAAATGTGGTAAAAGTCCTGTCGATATGGACGTCATGCATCAAAACTTCTACGCCCCAGCTATTTGAGACATCATCCAGACCGCAATGTGTATTGCCTGAAGCTCGGAGCGCGTGGGGCTGTGCACCAGCCGGGCCGCGCGTCTGGTACGCTTCCGCAGCCGGACCGCGTGTCTAGCACGCTCTCGCAGCTGAGCCGCGCGTCTGGTACGCTCCCGCAGCCGAACCGTGCCTCTGGTACGCTCCCGCAGCCGGGCCGCGCGTCTGATACGCTCCCGCAGCCGAGCCGCGTGTCTAGCAGTCTGGTACGCTTGCGCAGCCGGACCGCCGTCTGGTACGCTCGCGCAACCGGACCGCGCGTCTGGTACGCTCCTGCAGCCGGGCCGCGCGTCTGGTACTCTCGCGCAGCCGGGTCGCGCGTCTGGTAGTCTGGTACACTCCCGCAGCCGGGTCGCGCGTCTGGTAGTCTGGTACGCCCCCGCAGCCAAGCCACGTGTCTGGTATGGTCACGCAGCCGGGTCGCGCGTCTGGTAGTCTGGTACGTTCCCGCAGCCGGGTCGCGCGTCTGGTAGTCTGGTACGCTCGCGCAGCCGGCCGCGCGTCTGGTACGCTCCCGCTGCTATGCCGGTGACGTGATGGCCGGACCGGCCGGATGCCCCGCGCCGCGTCGGCCGCGCCCCAGCGCCGCCCCAACAGCAGGCCTTTGTCGTTCCCCCGCTCGCGACCGGAGCAGGCGCAGTTGGCACCGACGCGTGCCAGTCGTGCCAGTCGGGGTCAGGAGGCGCTGTACGGCGGCACGCGACGGTTACCAGCCTGCCGACGAAGCCACCGCTCACCGAACGTCGTCGCCGTGAATCGCTGTGAGAACCGCGATGCGTCACCCGCCCATTCTAATTAGCCGGGTACCCGCAGCGTCTCCTCCAAACGTGGAAGCTTTTCTCTGTCGGTGGGAGTCGACAGGCTAGTTTGTCATGCTGGCTTTGCATTATGGAGTCGGCGCATCGCCTCGGATGCGGGGTTTCTTTTCACTGCTGCGTCCCGCGCGAGACTTCGACGCTCTATAAATATTAAAGCGAATAACTCTCGCCTGGAACGTAACTGTACAGCCCAGTGAGAGATTTTACTCAGGCTGAGTGTTTTAGACCATTACGGCCGGTTTTCCATGTGTTGGAAATCGGACACCATCATCCACAACGGAAGGGGGAGGGAGACGCGAGCTGGTTGTCGCGGTCAGCGGGCCGGCGGGATCCAGCGCAGGCCGGCCCACACGCGCCAATCACCGCTCCACGCCGGCACGCGGCCGGCCAGCGCGCGTTTTTACGTCCAGGTATCCGGTTTGCGCGCGGGTATGTCCGGTCACACGGCCGGCAGTTCTGCAGGCTGAGGCGGGATACCAGCCGAGCTCTGGGTGCCGGCATACTGCCGAGCTCCGGGGGCCTGCATACCGCCGAACTCTAGGTGCCGGCTTACTGGCCGAGCTCCAAGTGCTGGCGAACCGATCGAGCTTTGGGTGCCGGCATACCAGCCGAGCTCTAGGGACCGGTACCGGTCGAGCTCCGGGGGCCCACATAGCGTCGAGCTCTGGGGCCCACATAGCGTCGAGCTCTGGGTGCCGGCATACCGGCCGAGCTCTGGGGCCCGAACACCGTCCAGCTCTGGATGCCGGCATACCGGCTGAGCTCTGAATGCCGGCATAGCACCGAGCTCTGGGTTCCAGTATACCAGCCGAGCTCTGGGGACCGGTATACCGGTCGAACTCTGGGAGCCGGTATACCGGCCGAGCTCTGGGTGCCGGCATAGCACCGAGCTCTGGGTTCCAGTATACCAGCCGAGCTCTGGGGACCGGTATACTGGTCGAGCTCTGGGAGCCGGTATACCGGCCGAGCTCTGGGTGCCGGCATACCACCGAGCTCTGGGTTCCGGCATACCAGCTGAGCTCTGTGGACCGGTCTACTGGTCGAGCTCTGGGAGCCGGTATACCGGCCGAGCTCTGGGTGCCGGCATACCGCCGAGCTCTGGGTTCCGGCATACCAGCCGAGCTCTGTGGGCCGGTATACTGGTCGAGCTCTGGGAGCCGGTATACCGGCCGAGCTCTGGGTGCCGGCATACCACCGAGCTCTGGGTTCCGGCATACCAGCCGAGCTCTGTGGACCGGTCTACTGGTCGAGCTCTGGGAGCCGGTATACCGACCGAGCTCTGGGTGCCGGCATACCACCGAGCTCTGGGTGCCGGCATACCACCGAGCTCTGGGTTCCGGCATACCAGCCGAGCTCTGTGGACCGGTCTACTAGTCGAGCTCTGGGAGCCAGCATACCGACCGAGCTCTGGGTGCCGGCATACCGCCGAGCTCTGGATGCCAGCATACCGGCAGCGATTGAGTGACGACTGCCCAGTGATGTTCCGGTGGCGGATAACATGGCACACCGGCGTCGGCTCCTCCAGCAGCGCTGGAGCGCACGGCTGGAACGACCGCTGCTCAGCCAAGTCCTCATCCGTGGTGCAGATCGCTGGCCGCTTTGGGTAGGAGACTGCGTCACTGGTAATGGCGAAACCCGTGCAGACCGGACTTCGCAGACCAACACGCAGCCCCATTAACTGGAATTGGAAGCGCGGAGGCAGTAAGCCATGTAATGGGACGTCAGTGAGGCGGTAGAGCTCAGGCCGCCAACTGTGATCAAATGCTTGTAAACCCTGGCATGCTTACCAGGAAGTGTGAGTTTTGTTTTGAATGGCTTCTTTTATATGGCGTCGCACTTGGCATGTGTATGCATTTTCTCGTGGTTAAAATGGTAAAATAGTCGGAAGAGAAAGGAATGGTTTCACATATAAGATACTTCTTACATTCACACCGATATCTAGCAATGCGAGCGACAATGACGCCAAAGCAGGAAAGAAACTTACACAAATGTATGATAGCGGACAGATAAAAACGTGTTAAAAATACCGCCTGAGTGTTATAATTTTCAACGTGTAAAAATCGAGACTATTTTGGTAACACATGGCAGCACTGCATAGCTTTCTATTCTCCTGTGATGTGTCATGCATGTTTTTTTTTTTGTTAACGTCTGTGACTTTTCTTTTATAGGTCTTTGTAGGCCTTTGTCGACGATGTCGCCTTCGATAACCGACTTTTTGAATGGGGTTTCGTCGTTTCCATTGCTGCCTGTTCCGCCTGATAATTTTGAAGACCTTGACAGACGCAGAGACAAGTTTAACAGAGCTAAGAGCCAGAGCCAGCCGCCGTTTAACCTTCAGATTACAACTGAATCATGACCGGACAGTTCGCCTAAACGTTCCACAAAATCCAACAGTACTACGCTTGAAAATGCCTTCTGGCCAGTCATGACCAAATCAACGCCGCCGTGACAAATCCAACGAGATTGCGACAAATCTGGTGTTGTCAAGGCAAACTGACCAGGGTCGCGACAACGTGCTAACGGGCGCCACTCGCAGGGGCCAGGAGCGCGGAGGGCGCGGTGCGTGGGCTCCGTTCCGACAGCCATCCATATTCAGCGCGCCGGCGCGCCGGTACCGGTACCGTTCGGCGCTGACCCCCTCCTCGCCGTCACGCGCTGATGGATGCTAATGGTGACCTGACGGTCACGTGCCGCGCGTCTGCCGCCCGGCAGGGACGCGCAGCAGAAGATCGTCCGCACACCAGGGAAGCAATCACCGGCGCGCTAGGTTTGGCGCAAGCATGGAATAACATGCGAGACGTAGTGATATGTGTGTGTTAGCGAGGCACATGACCTGGGAGTAAAACCGACGTCTTGTTCAACACAAGTGTTATGAGGTCTAGTTGTTTCGCGTAAAAGTGTACTGTGTTACCACGAAGCGGCCTTTCTGATTGGTT